AAACATATGAACATGAAAAATGAATTAGAAGCGAAACATTGAATTTCGCTACTCATTGTAGCATGTCAACGAGATGTTAATGCTACCCAAAACCCAACACCTTTGTACACCTAGAAAACCCAAAAATGTAGCTAATACTATGATGGAATAAATGAAATATTACAACAATCAAGGTTTTAAGCTTGATGTAGTTAGACCCAAGATCAATAGAGAGATGCTCACAGCCATTATTAGACTCCATTAATTTCAGTGCTTTAAACGAAAATAAATTTGACTTGTGGATTGATATCACTTTCATACTATATCATAATAAACAAGACTATTACATTAAAGATGAGGTTGAGTTTTGTTGATATTATTATTATTAGTATTATCAGTTGCAACAAAACTAAGAGGACTAACCGTTGAATAGTGTGCTTGACAGTTCCAAGGATAGCAAAGTCCACCATCGTTGCAAGGACCATTTTCATATGTTCTCCAAACACATAAACGGCACTTGTCTCATTTCTGTACATATATATCAAAATAATGAAGCGAAGTTGATGGCCACAAGAAGCTACAGAAAAACAAGGTTCTCCTTATAATTGGATTTGTTGTGAAATTGAACAAATATTGAGCTCTATAGATGATAGTCGCCTCTCCGGTATCAGTATTCTTATCTTTGCATTGAAGAGTCAAGGTTTGGTGGTGATTGAACTCGTTGATGATTTGCACAGTTATAGTTTTTGTAAAAGGTGGAGAATCGCCCTTGCCTTTCAATAATAATTGATACCAATATGGCTAGGAGCAAAATCAAAGATTTCATATATGGAGCCATCTATCTTGTGTTTCTTTAGAGTTCACACCGTAGATATCTCTTACTATGGGGCCAAGGGTGAGTTAGTTTCATCCAATACTCAGTTATAGGAGACTTGTCCACAAAAAAAACAGATAGCTAGGAAACATTTATTATGTCAATAATGATATTAGCTTTGATGGAAAAACCTTTACTATTATTAGTATTTGAGAATAAATGCCTTGAGATTAGAATTGTATTGCATTTAATATACTCCCTCTGATCCTTGTTGTAGGGCATCCTCAACTAATGCTCACATATCAAGAAATAACAGTTAAAGCATTAAATCTGTCCCATATCGATAAATTTTTTCAAGACTACCCTCAACTCAAATAATGTAGATAGATAAACATAGATTTTAATGAGCTTTTTAACATTAAACCTTAATTATTAACAAGAGTAAAATTGAAAAGTAGTGATTAATAAGTTGGCTAATATCTTATATTTAGAACTAAAAATTCCTTCTAAACTATGTCCTATAACATTTAATTTGATTATTTAGTTCATACCACATTAAAATTCAATGCTTTAAAACGAAAACAAATTTGATATACACGACTTTCATTATATATATATATATCACAAAAAGGGTTATTACATGGAATACATGATCTTAATTAGTAATCAAACACGAGGTTGATGAGTATTGTTTGCAGCAACACTAAGAGGAGCAACCGTGGACTCAAGTGGTTGAGGAGGATTCCAAGGATAGCATAGTCCCTGAGATGTGCAAGGACCAGTTTCATATATTATCCAACCACATAAATGGCATTCGTCTCGTTTCGCTACATATATATCAAAGTAATAACGACGAGTCAGGGATGGCCACCAGAAGCTGCAGAAATACAAGGTGCTCTTGAATGGATCTTCTTTGATATCAAAAGAAAATTCTTCTCCGTGCTTGAGATGGATCTCTCCAGGATCATACACCCTATCTTTGCAATGAAGCGTCAAGTTCCGGTTTTGATTCAAGTCGTTGATGATTTGCACTGTTATATCGCCCTTGCCTGCTTTCAACATTGAAACAACCATGGCAAACAGCAAAAGCAAAGATTTCTTCAAACATGCAGCCATTTCTATATGCTCTATCTTTTGTGTTTCTTAAGAATACATACCATATATAGCTAGGCCTCCCTTACCAGTTACTATAGGATCAAATTTGAGTTGGTTTCATAAGCAGCATTTATTATGGCAATAATGATATTAACTTCCCTGGAGAAATCTTTATTATTGACAATCAATGCCTTGAGATTAGAATTGGTATACCGTTCTATCCCTTATTATAAGTCACATGTATCCTAAACCCTCAAACCAAGAAATACATTAAATTAATCATTTTTTTTTCATATTTATCTTTATTAAAAGTTGATAGAGAGAGAGGGGGGAGGGGATCGATTGTATAGGAAATGAGAAGTTGAGAGAGAAATTAATTAATTTTTTATTAAATTAATAGGAGTAAAATTAGAAAAAGATCATTAATTATACTACAAGTGACTTATATTTTGAAATAAACTTTTGGGGTATATTATTGCATTCATTGTAATCCTTCGGTGTACAATATAAGTCCTTTTTTCTAATTCATTAATTGTAAAAAATGATAATTAACTTATTAAATCTGTCCCTATTTGAAATTCGTCTTTTTTTTTTTTAACTTTACTTATATTAAATGAAGTTGTGAGGAAGAGAAAAACACAAAAAGTTACATTATTTAATTATTAATTACAGAAAAAATTAACAAATAAGCGTTAATTACTTACCAAGTGATTTGTATTTTGTAGTAAGTTATTCTTCTAGAAGCAACTTATATTATGTACCAGAGAGAGTATGTGATTTTTTTTCCCCAAAATATTATATCTGATTTTAATTCCTCAAATTTAGTTCCAAGGTTGACCTCTTTATTCATGCATTATCTAAAAGAAAATAATTCTATCCGGACCTATACGCTAAATATTGTCTTCTTATCTTATTTATACATTCATATAAATTTTTTTTTCTCTTCCCTCTATTTAATCGGATCAAAAAATTTCTTGTCTCTACTCAATGAATAGGACTAAGGGAGTATGCACACACAAGGTATTTTCTAGAAAGTATTTTTAGTTTTTTTAATACCATATTAAATAAGGATAGCGACGGAGGATTAAAAAGATAAGTATTATAATATTACTATAGAAATGTTTTGATTAAAAAATGTTAAAAGTGCAGCAATAGTTGAATATAATGATTAATCCATCGAACGATTTGCCACTTCTAAAAATAATAATTCAAAAATTTATAAAATGGTTTACCACAAAGAGGTGTTCAATAAGGTCTGCTCATCTGCGGCATGCACATGGTTTGATCGCCATAATCAAACCGGTTTGACTCGTTCATTCATGTTGAGGCGGTTTTACTTATTTCAATATTTATGTTTCTTTTATTATTCATTAGTTGAGTCTATTTTACTCAATCAGATTAGTGTAAGTGAAAATAGTTAACTTAATACATTATTAAAAAAATAGTTAACTTAATTTGAAAGTGATGCCGCGTTATTATTATTTTATTTGATTACTGGTTATTGATATCGACTAGAAGTCGCCATAGGAAATTCAGAAATTCTCAAATTAAGTATATTTTTCTAAAAATATTAGTACAACAAGATAATGACAACTATTGTTATATTTTTATAAATATTAATGATTCAAAGTTTCTCACGAAGGAGAAAATTTTAAATGAAAGATAAGACTATTATAATGAAAAAAAATATTGTACATAATTCAGTGATGAAATTAAATTTTAAAAATTGACACATATCTTTCATGTTCTTTTAAAACATAATAAATATATTCTACATATTCCTTCATCTTTAATATGAAACTTATTTAACTAATTTGATTATATGAAAAAAGTTAGATAAGTTAATTAATTATAAAAAATATAATTTTTTTTAAAAACCTATAATTATTTTTTTTAATATACTCTCTATTTCCTACTTAATTATGCTTGAAAGAATATTTATATAAATAATTTAAAAATTGATAAATATAAGAAATAGATCTTACATTTAAACAAAAAATTAACTCAACAATTAGGTTATATATCAAGGACCGAGGATTATTAATTTTAATGTCTTGTAATATATTAATTAATTATAAAAATTAGCTGTTATTTTTTTACTAAAAAAATATAAGTGTTTTTTATGTGTCATTTTCTTAAATTTTTTTATGCAGTGATATGAGATCTAGTAATATTATAAGACATATTTGAGCATTGACTATTGATGGCCCTAATTAAAAGCATCTCTTTCAAGTATGTTTTTTTTATATTTAGAAGAATTTAAGTTCACATTTCATATTTAAGAATTTTATAATTCATTCCAATAGACCCAATTCTTTTTTCCCCCTTAATTTTAATATCTATCCAATGAAAGGCTATTTTATTTGGGGTCAAATTAAAAAATCTTTCATCTACCTCAGTCAAACAAAAGGGAGGAAAAAAAAAAAAAAAAGGCGACGTACGTGCCTCCCCAACTACTCCCGCGAGAATCGCAAACGCGTTTGGCTCGCTTCTGACGCGCCACGATGCTGCGTTTCTCAGCGTCCCACGCATCGCTTCATTAAAATTTTTTTCAAATAAACAAGGCCGCCTTTTATCTTTTTCATTTTCACTATAATAATAATAATAACTCTGGCCAAAAAATAAGAGTATAATATTAACAATAAAGTAGGCGGCTTTAAATTCTAATTCCAATTGGATAAGAAAGAGACAGCCTCACCAATTCTACTCTCTTTAATCGCCACCATACACGTGTCCCTTCTTTCCTCTCATCTCACACGTGTCTCTACTTCAGCCCCATTCGAAGGGACTAATCCGAAGGCCTTAGTTTACACCAATCACAGCTTTCCGTTTGTCACTCTCTAGATCTTTTCACTTAGATCATGCTTCGTAATCAATCGACCCAATCTCCCAGAAATACCCTTCCTGCAAACCAATTATTACTCTCCTCACCTTCCAAAACTTGCTTCATTTCGGAGTGTATTTGTCTTTTCGACTTATAACCCGGGACCCCAAAGTTATCTTGTGCGAGAAAAAATAAAATAATATTAATAAATATCTTTCTGAATTTTTTTTTAAACAAATACTTAAAAAATTGTTTTCTTCTTCGTGGCCTCCCCCTTTTTATTCAGAGCCTGGTTTCACGTCTCTTTCTTCTTTCTTCTTTCTTCCTTGATTGCTTCGCTTCGATTCATTGCCTTTGATTGATTGAGAATTGAATTGAATGCCTCTTCTCTGTGCTTGTGACTTAGCCTCTGTGTTGCTTAATTAACCCTTTTGGCCTTCGTTTCCATCCACGTCCACTGCTCACTTGAACCAGATCCACTTCCTCGCTTCGTCTTCTTCGTTTGGAGTTTCTATTTAGCTCGAGAGTTGCATCTCTCTTTTCTTCTGGTTCCGATTCACTGGAACTTTTGAACCTTTTTCTCTTTACCAAAACCCCTTCCACATTACAGATCCTTTCATTCTTCGTTGCTCCGATTGAATTGTTCGCCATAGATACAGACTTGTTCAATCTCATCAAGAAAACTTAATCCTGACATCGTTGACTGTACAGTCGGTGTTTCTTGGAGTAGTAGAAAAACTTCTGATTTTTTCTTTTCTGCTTAGCCACCAAATCTGGTCTTGGTGGTATTTTTTTATTTATTTATTTTCAATCGAGCATAGGAATGTTGGGTACTGGAATACAGTTTGGGCATGCCCGCGGAGAGGACCGATTTTATGATGCGGTGAAGGCGCGGCGGTCCTCGCATAGCTTGGAAAGTGATAAGTTCCGTAGAGCGCATAGTGACGTTACCGCGAGTCGTCCATCGCATTTGTTTAAAGAGAGAGCAGTGGATTCAGTAAATGGAGAACCTGAGAGCCGGCTAGGATCTGAAGAGCCCAAGAAGCCTGCTGCTGTGCCATCTGCTACCAAACCCGCGTTGAAGCGATTGAGTAATCTTGAGCGGTTCTTGCTGGCGATCACGCCTTCTGTGCCTGCTCAGTATCCATCTAAGGTCTGTTTGTTCAGTTGCCTTTGTGTATAATCAGTTTGATAATATGGTTTACATTTTCTTTGTTATAATTTGTTTGGTTTATCCCTATCAAAAGTTGTTGGAACTGGGCGAGTAAATAAAGATAATGCATTTTATTTCTTTTTTAGTAATTTTACTTGGTTTATGGATTCATTAAAACTATTATGTGACTTTTCGCTTTTGTTTGCAACGGATTAATCATTGGGTAATGTATTTGTGTGGTTGTAGTAATGAATAGCTCCTTGCTATACGTTTTAACTGTGAATTGACTTTTGCAGACGGACATTAGAGGTTTTGGAACTTGTGGCGGGGAATTTCAGCCTTATTTTGTTCTTGGCGATTTGTGGGAATCATTCAGGGAGTGGAGTGCTTATGGTGCGGGAGTGCCTCTTGTACTAAATGACAATGATAGTGTCGTTCAATACTATGTTCCTTATCTCTCTGGAATTCAAATATATACTGATATTCCGAAGCACTCTGCTAAATCAAGGTATAAGGCTTGTTTTGATGATTTTAGATGTGAAAGTCTAGGCTGAAACATTGCAACTTGGACGGCACTTGGTGTGAAATATATGCAACGGGATATTTCTAAAAGTTTAGCTAGTCTTTTAAACTTTTTGAAATGGATGAAATTACATGCCTTTTCTTCTTTGCTGTGTTTTGGAAAAATGAAAAATAGCCTGGTGAAGTGGGGAGGTTCAAGTTCACCACTTTAGGGGTTCCTCAATTTCAGAGGATCCCCATCCGTTCTTGTTGTGGTGGTGTCTTTCTCCCCTTCTTTTTTGCAGCACGCTTTCATGCTTTTGGCTGCATATTATCGTCTCCCTGATTCTGACTATCACGAGAACTAAAAGCAGTCCAATTGAATGCTGCAAATGTAGTGTTAACCATACGCCATGCTCCAGTAATTATAAATATCGAATACGCTTTGCTAAACGGGTATTAGAACCATATATCTCCGATGATACTTATGTCTCTTGCTTGATGAGATAGAATGGTTTATTGCTCCCCCTACTTTGCTTTATGCTATATTGGATGCTTGCTTATGGTTAAAATTCTATTTCTTGTCTTCTGATTTGAAGAAACAATTGAGTTTAGTTCTCATACGTATGACGTGTGAGTACAATTGGAAAATGGTGGTAAGCATTGTACTGATTTTGGATCTTTCATTGCAACGTTTGTGGACTTCTTGCTGGATTAGTACAATGCTCAATGCTCAATGTTCAATTTTTGACTTGTTTTTACCAATCATTTTGATTGCCGGGAATTCGGGTCATGATGGTGATAGTGCTTTATTGTTTGTGTGGGTTAGTGAACTTCAGTAGCATGCTTTCTCTTTCTCAGATGATTTTCATTCAGTTCTCTTGCATATTAATTGTATGATTGTTCCTCTTATAGGCAACTTGGTGAGGACAGTGACAGCGATTTTAGGGACTCAAGCAGTGATGCTAGCAGTGATTATGAACCTGCAAGAGGATTGAAATACACGGGGGAGGACAGGAATCTTCATCTGTCAGAGGAGGTGCACCATAGGATGGGCAGATTGTCCATGAAAGATCACCATACTGTCACTCAAGATGGTTTTTCTAGTGACGATGGAGAATCTGTTAATTCCCAAGGCTGCTTGATTTTTGAGTATCTTGAACGGGACCCTCCTTACAGCCGTGAACCTTTGGCTGATAAGGTTTGTTTGCACTTTCCTCCCCTTCCCTTTGCCTTTCTCTGCAGTTTACTGGAACAAAGTTATCATATCTCATCACTGGCCCTTTGTGTAGCCTTTTGATTAGACTGTTTTATGTTGGTACAGATATGGGACCTTGCTTTTCGTTTCCCTGAGCTGAAGACACTCAGAAGTTGTGACATACTCTCTTCAAGCTGGATATCTATAGCCTGGTATGCTCTATTTATACCTATGCTTTTAGCAATCAACTTCAAGAGGCACAAGTGGCTGACCATGTTATGTTTTACTTGCAGGTATCCAATTTATAGGATACCAACCGGACCAACATTGAAGGATCTTGATGCATGCTTTCTGACGTATCATTCTCTTCATACACCCACGGAAGGTAGGGGGATTTTGACTTTATTTCTGTTTAAGCTCTTACGGTGATTGGTCTGTCTATGGCAACCAGTATTGTGTGTTTGTGATAGTTCATTTTCTGTTTAGGGAGAGACTGATTACAGTTTTTTTTTTTTTTTCAGGTTCACAAAGATCACAAGCTCCCATCATGACACGACGTGGTGAAATTGATGGTGGGCTTAAATTATCTTTGCCTGTATTTGGCCTTGCTTCATATAAGTTCAAGGGTTCCCTCTGGATTCCTAATGGTGGAAATGATCGCCAATTAGCTAGCTCTCTACTACAGTTTGCGGACGAATGGTTAAGGCTGCTTCACGTCAGTCACCCAGATTTCCTGTTTTTCAGCCGTCGATGATCTTGAGGTGGCAGTGGCATTTCAGCCTTCTCCATCTAAGATTTGGTCTTGCCATTTCCGTACCAGCTAGGCCCATGTAAGTACACCAAATTGGCAGACAGAAAAGGAAAAAAAAAAGGTTTGGAAAAAAAAAAAAAAAAAAAGAGGCAGCAGCACCAAGCGATTGCCATAAACAGCCCTGTGTAATGCCCTTCTGGGAGTTCTCTGATATAAAGCAAGGAATGAGAAAGATAGTGGGAATTAGTAACAGCCAGATAAGCTTTAGACAAGCATCTCTATTAATGGTTCTCAGGGGGTGGGTAATGGGGGGCGGATGGAGCGTGAGAAGCTTCAGAAATGCTGGCTTATACCTGTCACGAGGTGGTTATGTCGTCCCGCATCATTTGAAGGCACCATTGTCTTTTTTGTGTTGGTATGGTGTTTAAAGAGAACAGGCTGTATTTTTTTGTCCTCCGGATGGTATATAGGGCCAAGCTTTAATTTATGTTGGTACAAATGTTGCGTGTTGCGTTGCCGGTGTTCGAAGTGGCCCCATGTTTTTAATTAAACGCCTGTAACTTTTGACACTTGTATAACTTGTTTTATAGGGTTTTTGACTCTTGAATGTTGATGCTAATAAAAAAAAGATCGTTAGGACTAAACTGAGTTCTAGTTTAAAATTCATTCCTGCCTGCATGATGATCCTGGGAACAGGCTGTTGGCCTTTTCATATAAAAGTGGGATGATATTTAGGTCAAATTCTTTTTCTTTTTTTTTTGGGTTAATAAAACGTCTATAAAAGCATATTGCAATTGAGCTTGCGCGAGTTGTACCTTATCATGGTTTCGGATGATTCACGAAAGCGTTCCCATTCTGGCGGCGAGGATGTTTGTGTTGGAAGTTCCTGGAACAGTCTGGAACGTCTTTGGCTAAAGTTTGAAAAGAGGAGTTAAGTTGTATTTACCATTTTTGAACTATTTGTCGCCTAATATTTTAAAGTTATTTTTTTATGTATTTAGTGTTTTAAAGTATTTGTTTTAATAAGCCTCTATTTTAAAATAAATTTTTCATGTAATTTTGCTTTTAAAATATTTTTGAAATAGTAAAGAGCATTCCAAACGTGCCAGAAGATTCCCAACATGCTTATGGGCTTTTCTAGCCTAAAACCCTGGATCCAAACACATTCATAAATTTTTAAAGAATCTGGGTTAAACTAGCCGTCTGAGGCTCTAACACATCTAAACTATCATCTTAGAAAAAAATTGGTTAATAATATTCTGGTACTCTATATCAATTAATGCTAATTACTCCTCCATTGATGTTTTTTACCCATTCAATTGATTCTTTTTTTAATAACTGTGGTATCCAATATTACTATTGCTGATTTATCTAAATTTAAAAAAAAAAAAAGATAACCTTCTCAATGCACTTTTTTTTAAATATCATTTTAAAGAGGCATAAGTTTTAAATGATGGTGATTATACTTTTTATTGATAACTAGTAATTTGTTTTCAATTTTTTTTGGCTATATATAGGTATTTTCTTATTAGAGGAAATACTATTCGAAGCACCCTACTAAATATGGACATCTCTCTCAGTAGAAATTGGAACATTGAATCTTCACGTTGTGAGAGATTAACTCTTTTTGCAAGACTTAACTCCTGTTGATCAAAGTTTTTAATTTTCTTTTAATTTTTTTAAAGCTAACGCAGCCTAACCCATAAACACGTCTAATCTAAACTTTTTTTTCCTGAAAAAAATTAAATTATTTTTATTGGCTTTTTTACCAAAATACGATAAACAGTAAAACTATTTACTAAAATACTGCATTTTTGAAACTACTTACCAATATACTACACTTAAAATTGTTCTTGGCAAGAATGATTTTCAACTTACACACAAGTCGTTCTTGGCGTGAACGATTTTAGAAATCGTTTTTTACGTGAATGATTTCACTGTTCATGCCATGAATGATTTCATTTTTTCCTATTCACATGCGTCTGAATTGTTGCCAATTATGGGTACAAAACCATGCGTCTCAATTTCTGCCAATTATGCATGCAAAACCAACTAATTATGTGTTTGAATTTCTGTTAATTATGCATGCAAAACCAACCAATTATGCATGCTCTATAAGCATCTCTGACATAGCATGCGAGAATCCCGTGAGGCTACAGCTATAACTTTATATATATTATATGTGAATTCTTTCTCTTCACACCTTGCGCTTCATTGCTCTTCACTTCTTCTTCTTCTTCGCCTAGTTGTCTTTTCTTCTTCTTCTTACTTATTGTTTCATTTTCATTATTCTCCTATACTATTATTTTTTCACTCTTGTTTCTAAACAAGACAAACTCTTTTATTGCTACTATGGGTATGTTGTTTCTCTTCTATTTTTTCTTTTAAAAAATTTATAGTTGTGATATACAATTTGATTTTTCATCCATACTATCCTTGATGAGTTAATATTTCATTGTTCTAATTTTCAGGAAGTGAGTGATGGGTTCAACAATCTGGAATATTTGTACTCTTTCTAAGCTAGGTGCCTCTTATTTTAACTGTAAAACTATCATCTGTTATATTGTTTTAAGATGTTAAGATTTTGATATAAGCTTCATTTTTTCTTGGTATATGATTATTATTTTTTCTTATGAAAGTATACTTCTCGAGAAGTTTAAATTTGGTAAGATAAAACTGAAAAATAATTATATATACGCCCCAAATATCAAATATGTGGTATATATTAAGTTGGTAAATTAAAAAAAAAAGTCTTCTACCCACTTCTAATGAACTATTGCTTTCACATATTTTTTAGGTAAAAATAAGGTGTAAGTAAAATTGAAATGAATGAAAAGCACTCATAATTTCTTTTTTTCATTTTGCCTTTTCCATGCTATTTGTTATGTTGTATTTTTTAATTGATGATGACATGTCATGATATGAGTGTTTTGAATCATAAATAAAATACTCTAACTATTATTCTAATTTGCATCAATTATATAGATCTTTCCTCTATTTTAAAAGCATATAATTTAGTCCAATTAGTTAACACTGTTAATAGGAATATTCTAAAAAGATTCTAAAAATATTATTTTTAACTGAAATTTATATTAAAATAAAATTTATTTACTATTTTACTTCTGATTCTAATAAATTCTTAAATTATATTTTTATAGTTACATTAATTTCAATCAGTTAAGGCAAACATAAAATATTTGATTAAAATTTTAACTAATTTTTTATAATAAATATATATTTAACTAATTATGTTTATAAATCTTTGTAATAAAGAAGTGTTTAAAAGTTTTGAATTATAAATTGAAATAACTTATAAAATATTTTAAACTTATATCATTTAAATTCTATGATAAATAAAAACTAGGAATTTGAAATATATTTTTACAATTTAAAAGAAATCAAAGTAAATAATTTTTAATGAATGTGATAAACTAGAGAAAAAATTTTTATTTTTGAATCCTTCATTTCAACCCAATGGTCTAAAAGATTTTAGTCCAATTAAATGTTTAATTTCATGCAATAAATTAATATTTATTAAATTAAATTTTACAAAAATAATGAAATAATAAATAGGTATTATAAGGTATAAATAATATATATGTGTAAAATAAAAAAAATCTTCATGATATGTTATATTAAAATAATATTACAAGAAAGAATTTTAATATTAAAAAAATATATGTTTAATGTATTTTATATAGTGCAATAATATATTAATTAATACTTGATGTAAATAAAGTTATAGAAATAGAAAAAAAAAAAAAAAAAAATCTCTATTTCTTAAACTTATTTATTTATTTTAATTGCAAATAAATAATTTACAAAAAATTATTAAAAAGTTCTGAAAATTACTAAATTTGTAATCAAGTTTGTTTACTATATTTTAACAGATTTTGATAATAATAGCAATAACACATCTTTTATAGTAGTTTCTAATTTGGAATTATGCAGTTTTCATTATATATTTTTTTCCCTTAGATATAGATTTCATTATGTGTTTGGTTATATAGGATATTCTAAGCTAATAATAAATATTGATTTTGCAAAAAAGTAATGGTATAGTGGAGTTAATTTATTTGTATAACTTAATCTTACTTGACTAATGATTATAATGAAATGATTAGGAAGTAAAATGGATCATAGAAAGGAGTTCGTGTGTGTATTTGCAAATTGACGAATTTTTAATGGCCCAGCTGGTGTAACATTTGAGTCTGATAATGTGAAAATTATCAAAGTTGATGAAAACATTACCTTGGGCAAATTGAAGCAAGTTATTGGATGAAAGTTGCGACTTCCTCCCCATCAAAATGTGACAAATTTAGTATATAGGTATCCTACATGCATAAATCCACCACAATACCAAGCATGCAATTTGGAAGATGATACAGATATAAAACAAATGTGGCAAGTGACTAGAAGATTTTCAACTCAATTAACATGTGCAGAGTTGTATGCTAACATATGTGATTTACCAGATAATGGCCATGTTGAGTCACAACCCATAGGTGATTATGTTGAAAATATGCCTCCATCAAGTAGCAATAGGGTGAACATGATGGAATAAGAATCTATGTTTAGTGATCACATGGAAAGTTTCCAACCATTTGAACTCCCATGGATGGTGGGAACATTATATCATCATGTTCTCTTCCTCACGTAGAAAATATCATGGATGAATCAGAGGATGAGGAAGAATATGATTCTTATTTAAATGCTGGTATGGGGATGATAATAGTGACAATGACAATGAATATGACGAGATGAATGAGCAAAATCAGGTTGCAAATGCTTCATTGTCACAAATTCATGTTGAGTAAGTTACAACTCCTGAATTTGGTGAATTAGAAGATATTCTGCATGTTAGTGATAATGAAGAGTTAAATGTTGGGAAAATATTTAGCAATGTCCAAGTTTTAAGACCTGCAGTCAAGCTATATTCTGTTCGTGTTCATCATACATTTAAGGTCTATTATTCTTGTAAAAGTATGAAGAATATCATTGTGTTAACTATGGAGAAAATTGTAATTGGAGAGTGAGCGCTTGCAAAAAGAAAAGCAAAAACTATTGGCAAATTACAAAATATGGGGGGCCTCACGTATGCTTGAGCACGTCATTAACTCAAGACCATCCAAAATTGGACGCAGATGTTATATCATCCTGCATTGTGGCAATGGTAACTGACAAACTAGATGTGTAAGTGTCACAAATTATTGAGAGGATGCAATCAATGTTTGGTTATACTGTGTCATATAGGAAAGCATGGAAGGCAAAACAATTAGCAATTGCGATTGCCTTTGGAAATTGGGAGACCTCATATTCCTTGCTCCCAAGATGGTTAGCTGCAGTTCAACACTTCATGCTTGGGTCATGCATATATTTTTCAAACAAACAATGCTCTCAAGTCAATACAAATGGTCACCCGATTGAAATGTTTCATCGTGTTTTTTGGATATTCAAGCCATGCATAGATGCATTTCTGTATTTAAAACCCATTATACAAGTTGATGGAACATTCTTATATGGAAAATACAAGGGCACATTGCTTATGGCAATATCACAAGATGGTGATCGAAATGTTGTGCCACTTGCATTTGCTATAGTTGAAGGGGAAACAAGATCTGCTTGGGCATGGTTCTTACACCTT